GTTGTTGTTGTTGTTGTTGTTGTTGTTATTATTATTATTTTATAGTTTTGCAAGCACACTGAAAGCTTGTGTGTATAGTCACACTTGGCCAAGTAGAGTATTCAATTTGATTCAAAAGGAAGAGAAGAAAGCCATCCAGAAGAGATGCCATAGGAAGGGGCTCCATGCTCAGCAGGCGTGGCATCTCTTTTTTAAATTATTTTTCCCCTCTTTATTTTCCTTAGTTTTATACATTTATAATATAACATACAAAAAGAATACAGAAGTAAATATCAGGGAAATTAGGAAAGGAAAAAAAGGAAGTGAATAATGGGGGAAAGCAAGGGAAGAAGAAAGCAAGGCATTGACTTTGGTGCCGTAAAATAAGGCATTAAGACAAGGCAGGGTGGCATCTCAAGGCCACATTCCAAAGAGGGTGAGAGGGCCAGGGTTGGGGCGAGAGGCAGGTATTTTAAGAGAAAAAATTGGTGCCCCCATTTCTTAAATCCCCATTTTATAAAAGGGCTTCCCCTTTTGCCCCCTCCATACTTGTGGGCCAGAAAATGGATGAAGCACTCCCCTCACCCCCTTTTTTTCTTAAAGGTGTTTAATAATTTCCTTAAATACAGTGAAAGAAACACTTCATTTGGTAACAAGTCAAGGTAAGTTGTTTTTATTTTATTTTCGGAATCCAGAAGTCCTGTACATTTTATCACAAGTAAAGATAAATGAAAATTCATGAAATAGTTTGAATTTATTTCAAAGATATATAAAGGGGAAAAATAAATAGCCATACTTATAAGCAACAAATCGTAGCATTTTTAAGAGTGCCACTGAAACCAATACAAATTTTAAGAATTATACAAAATAGTTTTGTGGAAGCAGCAACTAGTTACAGATCACTGAAGACCAACATGAATGCATTTTATTGGATGCAGCCAAAGCAAGACATGAACATTAATTCCAAATTAGATGGAAAAAGCCCACCTGGATCAGTGACGCTACTGACTCGTCTCTGAACTGGCACCCATTTCTCCTCCTTGTCCTCTTGGGCTCTCATGCCCTGGGCCCGCTCCAGAGGAATTTGAATAGATTGAACTCAAACTGCCCAACCAGGTTAGATTCCCATTGTCCCCAGCACCTAATTCGTGAATGCCAGTTTTACAAACTACCTGAACACACTGTCAGCCTGCAGGGAAACCAATTTCCTCTGGGCACTCTGGGGCAGTCTCCACCCCACTGCCTCCTCCAGACCCAAAGACCTGGGGGAGCAGTGGTGTGGACTAACTGCCTTTATCTCTGAAGGCCGTCTGTCCTGCTGTCTTTTAAATCTTATCTCCCTGCTGACATCCCATCTAGCCAGGACCCCACTTTCCTGGAGGCAGGTTGAGGGAAGCTGCCTTCTCTAGCAGTCTGCCATTGTGAATGTCGCTGAGCTCTGAACTGCAGCCTTTCTGTCCAAAGAAAAGGCATGCCCCTGTGCCCGCAGAAGTGCCTTGTGCCCACCATCCCTCTGCGTCTGCCTCCTAGACACTCGGAGGGGAAACTGGAATGGTGTGGGGGGGGAGCAGAAGAGGCCTAGAGCACACCACAGTCCCTCTGGTTTGCCTGGCAAAACCAGGGATGCTTTTCATTGCAGGTGATATACAGGAAGTCCTGCAGTGGGCAACACCACTGTTCAAACATGGGAAAGTCCTGCACCCCCACAGATGCCAATAGAACACCTTCATGGTCCTTGGCAGCCCTCCACCTGCACCGAGCAATGCAAAATAGGGCAGGACCAGCACAGCAGGGACAAGCAAGGCCAGGCCCAAACGAAAGCCAAGCTCATCTCAGTTGGACATAGTGGAAAGGGATAGTCCTGGCCATGTTTCTGGTATGTTTCTTCTGTTGTTAAAAATACCTCTGACAGCAACGGGGGGGAGGGCCTGGGGGTGGCTGAGAGGCTCAGAATAGACCAAATGTATGGTGGGGACACTGCAGAGAAGAAGGGAATAGCTGGATTTGCATTAAGCAATTGGCAAAAACATCTGGCTCTGGCTCAGTTCCAGCCTCCTTCCCCACCCCCACCCCCATCAGGGAAATCAGAGGCCATACCTTGTGCAGGCTGAAGGGTGGCAAACCAGTTTGCATATTCATACAAAAGGATGTCCTGTATCAAAAACCTCACCTACAGGAAGAAGAGCTGTTTTGATTGGGGTTTAGAAAACAGATGATCTCTACCAAGACAGCCGTGCTCCTGGCATCATTGAGACAAGACGAGAGAGGAGGAGGAGGCTGGGAAGCCAAACTGCCTTTAGCCTTGGGCCGAGCCTGCGAGCCGAGGGAGGGCATGGCCTCTTCAACCAGGCCAGTCAGACATCCGTGCTGATGCTGCGGCTGCGGGAGAAGGCTTCACGCATGGCGGAGAGCCGGTTGGGATTGAGGGCCTGGAGGCCACTGCTCAGGCCAATGGGAAGCTCCAGGTCTTCTTGGCTGATGGCCTTGTAGTTGACCAGGTCGCCCCCGTTGCGGACCTCCTCTTCAGGCTCCTGCAGGAAGAACGTTGGAGGCTCATACTGGGAGCAGCTGGGACAGCCAGTCCGGGACTGGGAAGACTTCTTGTAGGGGGAGCGGTACAAGGAAGGGCCGTTGGTCAGAGCCACGTTACGGTTGCAGTGCAGGGGGGGGATGTGGGAATCTGCAGGGAAGTCGGGCTCATCGCCATCCTCTTCCGACTCATCCTTCTTGCAACAGTAATACTGGAAGAGAGAAACAATTTCCATGGGCCGCCATTCCTTCCCCAGGCTAAGAGATGCTTCTCTACAACCCTCACAGAAACCTATTCCCAGGGAGCCGGTTCACACATGGTAAAGGCAGCCGGTTTGGACTGGGCTTGCCGCAACAGGCAACTCAGCCACCAACATTCGCAAACCGTGGTTTTTACCTTGTGTGAACCTGGCATGCTCAACTTGGATAAGCAGACTCTGGCTTGGTTTGTAGGAATGCACAATCACTGTCACTCTCACACAGTTGACACCATGACAGAGACATTTTAAAGAATTCCAGCACATTAGAAAACAGAACAAATGACCTGCTTCCAACAAAGTAAATATGAAGAACCTTTTTTTGAAAAGAGCTGACTAAATGTTGAATTGCCAGGTTCTAGTAAGAAGGAAAAAAAGGGACTATCTTCAAAAATAAAGTGACTGCACAAAAAGTCTGAGCTAAAAATGAGAAGCCATCAATCTAACCAGAAGGAAAGAGAAGTTTAGATCCCTGTTTTGTTTTGTTTTTGAAAAGATTTTTTTTATTTTTGGTTAAACAAGCACAACACACACAAAAAATCATCTTTTGTTACATATTGTAGAAGTGTGTCGATTGGTTACAAATAACTTTCGTGCATCTCTACCACAGTCATTACTTATAATTCATATCACATTGTATATTTTAAATCAAAAATCTTTATATATCTTACTAACATCCCACAATTCTCATTTTACTATAATTGTTTCAACATCCTTTTGCATAAAATAATCCAAAATTGAAAAACACAACCACATAATGACATTTCATTAATTATTTCTAATATAATCCAA